TAGATATTTTTTTATTTCTTTTTAACATATTTTTTTTTCTTTTCTTTTTTCATGATGGATGAGGATGCGGTAGACTATGACTGGCGCCAAGATCCCAAATACTCGAAAGAATATAAAAAGTGGTATGAGCAGTGTTTGAACTATCAGTTGGAAGAACTTAAAAAGGTTGAGTTGGAGTCGAAGCGTCGTAGAAGAGAACTCGAGAAAAGAGGCATTGGGTGTGATGAATGTGGCTTGATGTTGTCACACACACCGGGGAATTGTCCTTTCTCAAGTTTACCTCCTATATCGCAAGAAGAGCTCCATTACATTCCTCCATGCTTTTTGTCATTAGATAGTGCGCTAGAAATTTCTATCGCCATCGAAGAACATGAAGAAGAAGAGGATGTCATCTTTGAAGATAAAACCGCCATAGTTATTCTCATTGAAGGGATGATTCAAGAGAAATTCTTTAATTCGGAATGTTTAACAATTGAATTTGTCATTCCATATGATGAGGAGGTTGAAGTCTTTGTCATTCAATTTGAGATAGATTGTGATGCTAAACTTGGTGAACATGAAGAGAAGATGATGCTCTCTTTTGGATTGAGTCCCTACTCGGAGAAAGTCGAAATTAAAAGAATGAGAAGATCATCAAAATCATTATTTAGAGTTCCCTAATGAGCATTGTCGTCTGGCTGAAGACGTTAAACTTAGCACTTGTTGGGAGGCAACCCAATGTTTACTGCTTTATTTTATTTTTATTATATTTTTAGTTAAGTTTTTTTGTTTGTTTGATATTTTGTTTTTCTTCTTTGCAGAACATTACTTGGAAAGATTTACATGACGAAGAATGTGTTTCGAGATCTATACTAGCAATTGTCACCTCCCCAATGATGTTTTATAAGTTTTCTCTATTCTACTTTTATTGAAATTCTATTCTTCTCTTATGTGCTTCATATAATTTCATTCAAGTTTGGGGGGGGGAGATGTGATATTTTGGTTTGAAAATTTTAGAGAGAAGATAACAAGATATCTTGCATTATCTTGCATAACATGTAGTTGCATGTTAGGTTTTATCGCTTTAACACGTTTATTGCTTCCTTAGGATTTGAGTAGTTGTAGTTGATCGACTTTGATTCACCTTGATGAGTTTTTTGTGCATGTTTGATGTAGAATTCGGGCATAATGTGCTAAGTGATGGAATTTGAGAATTGATTGAATTGTGAATTTGAATGATTGGTTGATGCTTTTAATTCATGAATATATGATCCTTTGTGAGTTTTCGAGCCTTATTTTTATTGTTGAGTGTATCATTCATTGTTGATTGAATTCTAGAACTTGCATTGGTATCTTTATCGAGACCACAGGGTGTGTGCTTTATGTGAAAATGATTTAAGGCATATTTTTGTTTGAGCCTTTTCAACCCTTTTAGCTTACCAAATGATATTTTTATTCCCTAGTTAGCCCTTTTGAGCTTTTGCCTATTTTCTTTGAATGCCACATATTGAGCTATATCTATATATTTTTCTTGTCATTTACTTGAGCATTTAGGATTATATCATGGGAAGAGGATGAGTTATTGTTTGTGGTTTGGATAAAGGGAAGATGTGAATGGGAGTGTAAGTTGATGGGGGAAGTTGAATGAGGTTGAAAGAGTTGTTTAAAAATAAAAAGAAAAAAAAANNNNG